GAAAATAGATAAAACCACGTACAGTCTGATACCGGAGAACACAGCGCTTTGCAATGCACAACTCTTTCCAACACAGCCATTTTTAAGCTAGATGCTTAGTCATTACTAATGACAGCACGCTCCTATAAAGCTGCTCTATTTTGGGAACAACTGCAAGTGCAACTTTGCTTCTTCCCTACCTTAAGGTTAATTACAATAATGTGCAGTTCCCTGTGTACACTGCAGGCTCTCTGCATGCACCACTCTCAGTATTTTTGGAACAAGTGTGGAAGTTTATTCCAGTTATATCATTCAAAGCAAGCAGTAACTTGAACTTGAGAATAGCTCCCTGTTCACATTGTCCGGCCATGCTGTGCAGTGCTGCAGGCTCTGGATATTACTGCTGCCTTACAGAGGGATTTGGCACGAGCTCATAAAATGACTGAGACTTTTTTTCTTCCCCTATGGCCTCCTTAATTTTATTCCTTGGGTGTGTGTCAGTGCTCCCCTGCTTGTGCACATCTTTAAGGTTGAATTGATTCCCTAAAAACAGCAGAAGTATTTGAGGTGTGCTTTATAAATAACGAAGGAGAACACCTTGCTCATTCTTGTCATTGCTCAGATTTGAGCAAGCAGCTGCCCTGGTGACGGGGTGTCCCAATGTGGCTGCACTGTCCCAGGGCAGGGCCCTGCATCGCTTGGTGGTGCTACCTAGATGTCCAGAGGCCAATGGGAAAACATCTCATTCAGCAGCTGAACTGATAGATGAAGGTTTGAGTGAAGCAACAGGAGCAGAAAGTGATGTTTCCAGGATGGAACAAAGCAATCCTCCAACAGTTCTGCCTTCACAAGCTCCAGGCTTTACAGCTGCTGGTGTCCACATGTGTCCCGCTTCAGTTCAGGCACTCGCTGGGTTCAGTCAAAGAGAAAAGCAGGCAGGTTCTTGTTCTGGATGTGCTTTGCTGCCTTGTCTGCATGAGGAACCTTCCTTTGGGCATCCCCCATTAAACTTCAGTGTGATGAATGCTGGCCAGGCAATCTCGGTCAGCAAATCCTAGAATCTGTTTTACTCTCCCAGGGTCACTCCAGGCTGAGGTTCTTCTCCATGGGGAAATGGAGGGAGTGCTCATCTGCAGGGAGGAAGGAGCTCTGAAGCTCTTTCACAGCTCTGGTGCACAGCGCACGTCTGAAAAACTTCTTCAGTGATCCTAGTGCCCATAAATCTGTCCCAGCTGCAATAATTATACCAGCAGTATGCAACATTGCTGGCATCTCCAGCTTGCTCCTTTTGGTACGTGGCTGTGCCCCGGGGAATCATAGATAGAATCACAAGGTTGGAAAGGACCTACAAGATCATAGAATCATAGAATCATAGAATCGCAAGGTTGGAAACGACCTACAAGATCATCCAGTCCAACCGTCTCCTCATCACCATTGCCACCACCAGCACTAAATCACATCTCGCAGCTCCTCATCCAGGCGCCTCTTGAGCACTGCCAGGGACGGCAACTCCACCACCTCCTGGGCAGCCATTCCAGTGCCTGACCACTGTCTGAGAGAAACAGTTCTTCCTTATGTCCAACCTAAACCTCCTCAGATACAACTTGCAGCCATTGCCCCGTGTGCTGCTCGTTGCCTGGGAGAAGAGGCCAAATCCCTCTTCACCACAGCCTCCCTTCAGGAGGTTGCAGAGTGCAGTGAGGTCTCCCCTGAGCCTCCTCTTCTCCAGAAATCTTCTGGTCCAGATCTTCTAGTCCAACCATCCTCCCATCACCATCACTACCACTAAGCTATTCAACTATATCTCACAGGAGCCGCATCAGAAAGATTTTGTGGTCGTTTGAGACTAGCAGCAGGAGTAATGGTGTTTCTCCAGCTTGTCAATTACGTGTTCTTTTCTTTTCTGCCCACTGTTGGAGTTCTTGATCTTGATTAAGGCATTATTTAATTCCTACTTTTCTGCGCCCCTGTGCTGAGCCAGGCATAATGGCCCTGTGTTTGAGCACTAGCAGGGTGCTTTCAGCAAGCTGATCTTCTGTGAAGCTGAAAGCGACTCAGCCTGAGCGGTGCTTTGTTCCTCCTCCTCTCCTCCTGGTAGGGAGCAGACTTCACAGGTAATCTGGAGGCACGCTGATACGCCTTTCAAGTTATTACCCGGGAAGTTTTTGCTCTGTCTGAGCACTGAGCGGTGAGTTGCTGACGGCTGTTGGAAGCAATGAGAAAGGATTCACAGAACAGACAGAGCCTTGCCTCCAATTTCTGCAGGCTGGAGCTGAATTTAATGGATAAATTGTGTTGCTGGGGAGATTTTGACTCTGTTCCCTCCTCTGTCACCAGTTTGCCTTGTGATTTGTGGCAGCGTTTTCAGCTGTGCCCGTCACATGAGATCGAAACCCATGAGTCAGACTCCACCCAAATCATGAGCCTGGCTTCCAGATCCAGGAGCTTTGAAAAGAGATCGTACTGTACTGTGTCTTTAGTTTATCTTTCCTTTCTGGAATTTCCTCCATGTATTCCCAGCGTGTCTCCAGCAATTAATGTTTTCTACTCTTTTGGAAGTGCTGGGGGTGTATTCTGACCATTTGGTGTTGTTGGAAGCCTCGTTTGACTGACACAATTAGTTTTGCTTTTGATCTCCAAATGCATCTTATTTCTTCCAGACCCCACGTCTTTGCCCTGTCCCCAGTGTCCTCCATCCCTTAGCCTCACACGACCCATCACCGCCGTCCAACCGCTCTGTGTCCCCTCTTCAGTCTGGAGAGGGTTTTTCAGCATTGCCTTTCATGGCTGGGAGAGTGCAAAAAGGCACAGACCTGTGTAATCCTTAACCTTGCTGTGGGAGTATGTAATTGGAGAGAGCAGGGAAACACTCTTCCTGAGGCTCCTTCCTGAAAAGGAGGTACTTGTAGCACAGGAAAACGGCGCTGAGGACAAGCAGTGCAGTTTCTCTGTTCAGGATGGGAGACCTTTGAGTTAGGTGATAAAAGACCCCTTTGCTCATGAGGTGTTTGCAGGACTTGGCAAGCCAGAGTTTCTGATTCCTTCAAATGGAGTCAGGTGAGGAGTGAATCAGACACAAGCCAAAGTAAATCCAGAGAAGGTAAGTTGAGAGTCAGCCCTTCTGTCTGCCCTGTTTTTCTTCAGATGTAAGGTTCGTAGTATGTTGTTTGTAGGCTCTGTTGACTGACTCCATTGTGGAGGATATGGGTAGAATGAGGTGGTGAAAAAGCCAAGGGGAAATTTGGTGTCGTATCACTGTTTTCCCCTATAGCATTTGCCTCTTTTCAGGAGGGTAAGAAGTGACAACTTCTTGGCGAGGTTTTATTAAGCCAAAGCCAAATCAATACATGTAATTTTGCAGTAATTATTGTATGCAACACTGTGGTGCCTGGTATTCCCATGGTAGCATTGCCATTGTTTTGCCATGAAGCCTGGAGATCAGAGCCAGCTATTTGACTAAGTTACACAAAACAAATCTACTCGCACCCCAGGCAGACAAGAAAATGCATCTTCCCTTGCTCAGCTTCACACTGTACCTTCACCCATGGAGTCTGCACGTTCCTGCATATGCTGTGTGCCAGGCATATGGCCAGTCCACAACGTCAGGTAGAAGTGCAGCTGAGCCACGTATCTCTAGAGTTGGACAGCTAGGAACTGAATCTGAACCCAGAGAAAAGCTCTTTACCTAGCCTGAAACCCCACCAGGAGCTATCTCCAAGACTTGAATCCACACCGTCTCCATAGTTTGGTAGAGGGGAAATTTGGAATTTGTTTTTAAACACAGGATTATCAGAAGCTGTGTTGAAGATGTGAGGAAGATGCACGATGCCTGCCAGAAAATCTTTCAGCTAAACTTTCATATGCAAGTTGTAGCAAATGGACACATCCCAAAGTGTTTCTTATTGTGCTGTATTTCAATAAACTGTGGTAATTAGGAGTGATTCCTTCTGTAAGACTGAGAAATGCTACCTCACAGCTTGAATATTAAAAAGATAAAATTTGTGAAAGCAAACAGAGTAATGTGATATTTTCTCCAGAGGAAAAGGCCATGTGTTTTCCTGCCTGTTTCATCAGCCATTTTCAGACACACACTGTGTACATAAAGTGCAGTTATGCAACCCACATGGGTCAACAAAGGGAGGTTGGTTGCTTCACCAGGATCATAAGAATCTCTCAAACACAATGGTACCACAAATTAAAACGGAAATCTATCAAAACCATTATCGTCCTGAAAGCTTTGGCCACAAGTGTAATTACTGCAGAGGGATGTTGTCCTTGGACACGGCTTTGGCGCAGTTCTGCTAGTGTTATTTGTAGCCCTCTATGGCTCAAAGTCAGAGCTTGCATGGCTAAGGACCATAAATTTTTAGAGGCAAGAAACAGGCTATTTCCTCAGTGCTAACACTAGCAGTTTTTTATTGTTTTGTAGTGGTTTGTAGGCAACTCATTAGGTGCTAGAGATAGGAACAGACTGAATGCGGTGGCTGAAGTCTGCCTTGAACTTTGAAAGGATTCAGACACAGATTTCTGTCTGGATCCAGTTGTTTGTGTCTGAGGCTCTTGCTTTACTGGACGTGAACAAGAACGATCAAATGTCAGGAGTGTTTGGATTTAAATCCAGTTCCAGAAGTCTCCTGCATTGATGTGCAGTCCACAGGCTTAAGCAGAAGACCTACCCTGAGTTCCCTAGCATGCAGCAGGCAGTCCTGTAGGATGAAAGTAAGTGAAGGTACGTTCGACATGCAGTGCAAAGAAAAATGCAGTCTTCTGTTGCTCGCCATAAGCAAGGGTCACAACTTCTGCCTCCAGGAGAAGCACCAGGTTACTTTCTCAAGCTCCCGATGAAGGCAGAGTCCTGGAGTAACTCTGCCACTGACCTGAAGGTGAACTACATAAAATAACAGGCACTGTACATTAGTTTTGAGCTAGTTACTTCTTTTCCAATACCCCATTTTCCATCTTGAGAGAGATGAGCAGTGAACATGTTTGGACAGTATTTTTCCTCTCTCTCTTTCCCTCAGGCTGGTATAGATGGGGAAAGCATTGGGAACTGCCCGTTCTCCCAGCGTCTCTTCATGATCCTCTGGCTCAAAGGAGTTGTGTTCAACGTCACCACTGTTGACCTGAAAAGGTAAAAATTGCTTGGTTTTATTGAAAATAGTGACATGATCCCGTGTTTTCCCAATAGAAAGGCCCCAGTAAGTTCAATCAGATTGATATCTGGCCTAGAGAGTCTGTGGTGCACAACAAAATAGTTGGGATTCAGGTTTGTTATTCCTTTTTTCACTTGTGGAATGTTTTTATATTAAACAGAGTGTTCTGGGGTATTTTAAAAGCATCCTCACCACAAACTGCTGAAGAAAAAGAAGGGCAAGCAACTGATTTTGCATGATTTTGCATGAACTGTGAATATCTGTGTGGCTGCCTGACCATAGAGATTAACGAATTCGTGACCTTTCTTCTCTGTGCAGAAAGCCAGCTGATCTACACAACCTGGCTCCTGGAACTCACCCACCTTTCTTAACTTTTAATGGAGAAGTCAAGACAGATGTTAACAAGATTGAGGAATTCTTGGAAGAGATTCTTGCACCTCCAAAGTAAGAACTTGAGGGTTTTTCAGTCAATATTCCATTTCCTAGGAATGAAAGTTGTCCAAAGAGGAGTTCCTGAAAAGCACTCGGTCCTGCAACCTTTACTTACAGGAGTAATATTTATTTATGAAACTTGTTGGCTTCTGTGAGATGACTTCCATGTGTGAAAGTTGCTTGTGTGACTAATAACTGCAGAATGTTTTCTCTGAACACATTTCAGGATGCCATTGTATACAGAATTAAGGAGATGAATACTAAAAAAAAAAAATCATAGGGGTCTGGTGTCCACATTTTATAGAGCTAAAAATAACTTGGACTGGATGCAGAACATTGCCACACACAAAACCTGTGCCAGGAAAAGCATTTTGCTGTGAAAAACTGAAGGGTTCTGAGCTCTTCCAACAAAAAGGTTGGAAGAGGAACGGATCATAGAACACGAGGAGCTCTGGAGGCAGAGAAGTGCTCATTAGTCTCATCAAGAAATGACAAGAACCCATGACTAGAAGTTATAACCATACTAATTCAGATTAGAAACAGGGCACAGATATTTGGGTATGAATGAATAACCACTGGAACAAACTACTGAGGAAAGTGTCGGATTGGATTCACCAGACACGCCTCGGTTAGTCAAGCGTTTCGACTTCACACAAGGATGGTGTAGAAAAAGATTGTTGGCTTGTGTTTTGGACCTTAAAATCTATGAATCAATGAAAATTGGCTCAGTTCCTTACGGAGTGTTTTACCTCTGACTGAACCAGCATCTGTGGGCCAGTCCTGAGGCAAGCAACCAGGTATTTAATTTTCTATATGCTAGTCCAAGATCACCAAAACCAGTAGGAGTCGTTAGTTTGCATTGATCTTTCAGATCAGTGTATTCCTTTGCACCACAAAATAACAACTCAGAGGCTGAAAACATTATGTTCCTTCACATGGGTGATGTTAACACGCCTTGCTGTTACATCCTGGCATGCATTTTCTGTGCAGGGAGTTAGACACGACTGCTACTCATAATAGGGAGAGCTGGTTGCCAACCTCCCCTGCACTTTTCTGGAAATTTATGCTTCCTTTTGATTCAAGGCCACTATATGTTGGATCGTGGTCACATAATGCATCGGTGTAACTACTTCTGTCATGAAGCCATCCCTGTGCAGCTATCCAAACCTCTGCCTTGACAGACACAGATACTGTGAAGAAGGTCTTGCCAGGCTGTTATTTTGAGATAAATGATAGTGTTAATTGCAGGGCTTTTTTTTTCTTCTTTTTTTTTTCCTTTCTTCCTGTAAGTAGAATTCATAATCATCACGATGCTGCTGGTAATAAGATGTTTCTCCTTTCAGGTATCCCAAGCTGGCTGCTAAGCACCGGGAATCAAACACTGCTGGAATTGATATCTTCTCCAAATTTTCTGCTTACATAAAAAATACCAAGCAGCAGGACAATGCTGGTGAGTAGGATTGTTACCAAATGCGCCAGGAAGATTTACTGTTTAAAAGATGAATAATTTTACTATTTACCCCTTGTTTTATTGTAAGCTGTGTTCATACGACTTCAAGTGCTGCTGCTGATCAGTCTCAGGTGGCAAAATCAATGGACTCAATTCACATGTCCACAGTTGGATTAACTACATCTACACTAGTAAATAAAATAGGTCAGGCACAGCTCCTGCCTGTAGCAGCCAAGCTGCACCAGTAATCCTGTATTCCATTCTGGATGGGGCTGGTGACTTGTGCTACCTTCTCTGCTCTATCCAGGCACTGTTCAGGATGCTAGTTGGTTGGCCCATGGTGGTGCGAGAGGCAGTACTAAAAGCTTAGCAACCAGTGACTCAGGAATGAAAGGAGAGAGCAAGCCGTGCCTCTTGACCTGCATGATTTCGTAGATGTAGCCATTGACACCAGATTGTCATCCCGCATTCGGTGATGTTATGGTAGTGTAGCTAATTTGCTCATATAAACAGAATGTAATTGAATGAAAGAAGTGGCTTTGAGAAATGTAATTGCACTCTGCATGCTCCTGACTTTCCTCACATCTGCGTCTAAAGAAATAACCACGGAAGCTGGATGCCATGCATATTTACACGCATCCTACACTCGCTTCTTAATGAAATTGCTTTTCTTCTCCACATTCCTTTCTCCTCAGAGGCACAACTTCAGCCAGTCTCAGTTCCCATTGCTCCATGACAGAGAATGGATTGACACAGTCATATCCCTGGAGATAGTCTGGCCGGATACTTGCAGCCACTCACTGTTCATCTCACCTCGTTTTACTAATTTCACAGAGACCTAAGGCATGCTAATTACCATTCAGAGAGGAGTAGATTTGCAGGTTCCAGCTCTGCCCAGCTTTCATTTGTGCACTTATATTTCATTGCCTGGGGCTGCCTCGTGAGATGAAGATGGGGAACGGGTGATTTATGCCAGATTACAATCTGCTCCTTAATATTTTTTTGGTATTAACAAAGAAAGTAATTATAACACTTCACTTCTTAGAGATGCTAAAAGCTTTTTTTATGTGTGTGTGTGTCTAACACCAATGGGATGCTCAGCTAACCACTGTAGGAAGGCTTGTAAAAAGAAGATAAATTAAGAGTCAGCCTAAATTGATGCTACACTGAAAATAAAATATCTTGGCCATCCAAAAGGAATCTCTATGGTCTGTGGTGCAACCGTAAGTCTTCAATTCAGCTGCTCTGTTCTTTGCACTCGAAAACTCTCATGGGTGTTTGCTCACATGTAGAATCCTGGCATGGTGGTTCTCAGTGGCTCTGCGATGTGCAGATCCTGCTCCGATGTAGGCTGGCAGCTCCCACTGGTATTTAATGGCTGTGACACCTGGACATCTCTGAGCTCAGCTTTCCTCTTTGAAGTGGAGAAATGCTTCATTTCCTTCAGCTGAAGTGCCAGAGCACCAGGACAGAGCAAAGATGAGCAGAGTACTGCCCTATTCTTTGTAGCACCACGGGCCTCAGGGAGCTTGGGGCTGTGAGAACACTTACAACATGAGGGAATCAGACCTCAGCTATAGTAAGGTTTTTCACTTTCAGTTTTCAAGAGCTGGGTGAGAACAGTGTTTGTCTTAACCTGGGGACATTTTCATTGAACTATCCTTTCCAGTTCCTCTGATCCTTCTTTGGAGAATGCCCCTTTCCTTATCTCCATGTGAGTAGTTAAGGTCTAAAAGGAACAGATTGCTGCTTGTGGCTATCATGCATTTCCTATACACACCAGCTCTCAGTTCAAGGTAGTGGCACATGCCTCACAGCCGTGCTCTATGTTGAGCCCAAGCTGCAGGTGACTCAAGCTCTTGGGTTAAGCTGGAAATTCACACCTCTATCCGGGTCATCAGTTGCAAAGGATCGAAGTACAAGAACAGAAAAGCACTTGTTCACAGAACCAAAACAGAATGGGGAACTTTTATCATTGCATCAAAAGTAAATGTCGTTGCTTTTGCTTGGGAGTAGGAGGGTGCTGGATACCAAGTTGCCTGAGTCACAAAGCGTCAGGTTGTTTAAATGATATTCTGTGAACCTGGAGGTCAGGGAGGTGGATTCACCAGTGTGGGATATCAGGCTGGGAATTTGTAGCATCCAGCGATCTCTAGCTGTGAGAACTCGTGTTAGCTGTAGTTGTGTTCCTCGTGGCATACTGGGTTAGGAGAGGTCATTAGGTCTATGTAACATGAGCTATTGTGGAAAAATGTTGTGAACTGCTTGGAATCATTAATGAGATTTATGCAGTGGAAGAACACTGGATGTGAGAGTTAATGGCAGCCCAGTGCACATCCAAGATACCCCCCAAATGGTGTTTCTCCTAGAAGGACTTACAGCTGCAGTCATGCAGCAGATCAGACACCAAGTAGCACTGTCCCTTGGCTGTGTTATGGCAGTGGGGTGGTGAGGAGGCACTGGCTGTAGAGTCTGTATCCTTTAAGTACTGGAATGACTTTTTTTCCCCTGAAAGTAGAAATGTTATGAAAAAAAAACCGAGATTTGTAATATCTGTGTTTAGTTTTTTGAATTCTGGTGTGTAAGTGAGCAAACACAATGATACACACATCCGTTTGTTTCTAAGATTGTGATACCCTCTGCTGGCAAGTATATGAATACTTAAAGCAAGAAGCTTTGCAGTCAAAGCTGAGACATCCCCTGCACAAAATAGCTTTCCTTCTGACCAGGTGCTTTTCTCTTTCAAGTGCACTATTGTCAAAAGAGAAGCATTCAGAGTAGTCTATTGATTTTGACAATGTTTTCGTGGAAAGTTTTGAGTTTTTTCTGGATGAGCTAAAATTATTTAGAATTCCTCAGCATTATGAGAATAACAGTGCTTTTTTTTTTGCTGGATTCGTGAAGAACTTAATTAGCCACATGCCATTATCTTTCATACCTGGCACAGAAGCAGGTGATAACCTTCTTGGGTAAGTCTGCATGGCAATATGGTACTGATCACGTTCCGTTTACTTACTGAAGGTATTTGGCAGCCAGGCTGCTCTGTTTTAATAGTTCCCTGAATTTCTGATGCTTTTTTTCCATCTTTGTTTTGCTCACATTTCTGCCTTATAATATAAAAACGTTGAAAGGGTTGGAACGGGCTGGCTAGGGCTGTAAGCCCAGAAGCAAACATGCTCATGCCATATCAAAGTCCCACCACTTTTAAGCTTCTTGAAAGGGAATGAATTGATTCCAGATCCTCAGGATGTGGCAAGCTGTGTTTAAAAAAAGTGCGTGCATTTATTATTTCAAGTCACTTCAATTACAACTGGCTTGATTCCTTCCACCCCCCATGTCACTCGATAATTTTATAACAGGCCTCTCTGAAGGAGCGACGGTCTCATCGTAGGCATAGATCCACATCTGGCTTAGATAGCACAACCGGGTTATTTGGCCCTCCAACCCCAGCACCAGACTTTGCTGCTTGGAACACTGAGAAGTTCTTATGCACCTCATGGCTGCCGCAAAGAGCCCTTGGAACAAAGCAGTGGCAGTCCTCTTTGGTGATCTCCTGGATCCTCATCCACAGGTTTAGGTTGCTCAGGCTTGTGTGACTAAGCTGAGAGTTTTGGGTTGCTTTGTGCTTAATATCTCAAAGACCTTGACTGGGCACAAGGATGGAAACCAGAGCCCTGGGAGTTTACTTTGGTTCCTTTTGTTGATGCTGAGCAAAGCACTCCAGCTCTGTATCAAAACCAGAGTAGTAACAGTTTATCTATTCATTGGAGGAGGATGCATTTCAATTGATCGGAATGCTGCGTACAAATTCAGTACCCGCTCGTGACTTCTTTTGCTGCGTACTGCAAACCAAGGGGACAGCCCACAGCCACCACCCCTTCACCGTTCCGCCTAAAACCCTAAGTTCTCTGGCTCGCAGAATGAGCCCTTTGAGTTCATTTATGAGTTTAAAAAGTTGTTCTTGAATGGAGTTCTTAGGAGGCACCAGCCCCGTGTGGGTGGGCGCATTCATTAGCGGCACGGAAGGAGGTTTCTCTGTAGGGCTCTTCAGAAGGCACGAGGCCTGGGGACCACCAGCACGGTCCCACGCGCAGGAATTTCCAACGTCTGACCAGAGGCCTCCGCTTGTCTGGTTTGGATTTACATCAAGAGCATTTAAATCATTAACTTACACGTGATTAAACGCTCTTCACCTCTTTCAGTAGCCGCATCACGCTGCGGATCGGCGCGTGAGATGGGAAGTACCTCTCCATGCACTGCATCTGTGTGTGTGCAGCAGGTATGCACCCATGGGCAGGCTGGGATTGAAGCTGGTCTTCACCACTGTGAAGCTGCTCTGACTATACAGGATTCCTCCTGCTGAGCAGAGAGCCGGGCCCACAGTCTGGGTACGTGCACCTATCGAGGTGTACCTGGAAACCATGCTGAAATTAGCAGGAAAACAGCAGGTTCAAAAAATCTACGTAGGATAAAGGATGCTGCAGTAATAGATCTGTGGTGCAGGTCCTTTGTGGAATTGGAGCTGATGTGCACAGATCCTTGGTGTGGTTTCATGGGTCCTTGATGCTGCGGCCATCCCAATGAGCACAGACTGCTCTACTCAACATCCACATCCAGAGGGGAGAAAACAGCTTTCCCCGAAGCTTCCTCTAGCTCAGTGGGAGAGGTCAGACTGGAACCATGACACAGCTTATCCCAACCCTAAAATCCTCCCGTCTCTTTCTGGGCCTAAAAGCTTCGCCCTCTGCTCAGCAAAGCTCTTGGCACAGCTCCTGTTGGCTTTAGTGGAGCAAAGTTAAAAAGTAGTGTGAATGCACTGAATGGATGAGGAGTTTCCTTTGACAGGAATGCGGGATCGGACTCTAAATCAGGAGCAATGTTAATGCTTTACGATTTTTGCATAGTTTTCCAAGGTGCCACAGAAATATATAGGTATAAATGCGTGTCGTGTCTGTGTATCAAATTGCCATTCAGTTTTTTCCTTCTTCCTCTTTAGTTGC